TTTACTGTCCTTTGCTCCCTTTTCACTCTGCCCAACAGGATTCCCAAAAAGGGCTTTGTGGAAGTGACTGAGCTAACAGATGTAACCTATACTAGTAACCTGGTGCGCCTGAGACCGGGTCACATGAACGTGGTTCTGATCCTTTCCAACCCCACCAAAACTACCCTACTTCAGAAGTTTGCCCTGGAAGTCTACACATTCACAGGGTAAGTCTGGAGTTCTTTTCTTGGGTTTCTGCTGTGCTCTTAATGACCCGCATAGTGTTGTGCAGTGGATGGGTTGGAGAGAGTGAATTGTTCCATTGCTTTTTAACATGTACACTTGCATGCTTGCTCCCAAGAACAGCTTGAGCTGGGTGCTTACCACACCTGCAAGAAGGTTTAAACTGGTAGTTGTTTGCTGGCCTACATTAAATGGGTTCGTAGGCTCTGTCCACTTTGTAATGAATGTGTGTCCTCTGTGCTGCCAGTGGTGCAACCGGTAATCTCAGCAGGCTAAGGACTGGATGAGTGGAAGAGCCATGGAGCCTCAGTTCTCCCCTCCAGGTCCCCACTTATGTTATGCTTGTGTTTGGATAAATACAGGGCTTCAGTTTCCAGGGCTGTCAGTCAATCAGCCACTTGTCACTGTAAGTCAGTGTCAAGGGGCAACAGGCCCTTGGAGGCCCCTTGACTTTACTTTTGATTGAGTAACCTAACAGCTACCAAGTCTATTCACAGAATGGCCTCAGTCAATATACGCTCCCCCTGTATTCAGAGTATTACAGCCCAGCAGCCTCAGTTCATATATCATAGAAAAAGTTCCCTCCACAATGGGGTATCTAAGGAGCTGGTAGGGGGATCCAGACCCTCCCTCTCACCTGGGTCCCAGCCCAGTTCACTGCTCTCAGTGGGGAATCCTGCCACAACAATTCTGCTACAGCAGTTCTCCACCTGGGGCTATTTCCTACCAGATCTTGTCAGAAGTCCTCTCTCTCTTCACACTCAGGTTCCGCGGTGTCTGCTGTATCCTCTCTGGGCCTGGCTGCCGCTGCTTGGTTGGACAGCACCTCCTTCCCCTTCAGCAGTCAGCCCTGACTCAGCTGCTCCAGAGGCTTTTATAGCCAGCCTGCAGTTGGAGCATGCTCAGTAGGGCTGTGGGGGTGGAGCCCTCACAGCCAGCTGGGCCAGGGTAACTCCTAAAGCTCCAGTGCAGGGTTGATACACTTGTCACAGTCAGAGTAGTTTGTACAAAAACTTAGAAAATACATTACTTCAGCCCTCCTTCAGTTTCTAGCCTTGATGTTTCTTGTGTGATGTCTGGTCTAAGGTGGAACACTGTCTAAATTGGCTTCCTGTCACTTTTTCCGCAGGAGCAGCTGTCTTCATTTCTCCTTCCTGAGCCTCGATAAGCATCGAGAATGGCTGGAGTATTTGCTAGAATTTGCCCAGGATGCTGCCCCCATTCCAAATCAGTATGACAAACATTTCTTGGAGCGCGACTACACTGGTTATGTCCTCGCTCTAAATGGCCACAAGAAATACTTCTGTCTCTTCAAGCCTCACAGAGCAGGGGATGAAGGGGGAACAATGGGCTGTGAGGATTATGACCCATTGCTACATGCAGGAGAAACCCGGGGAAAATCCTCTTCCAGTCCAGGAGCCAAACAAGTTAAAAACAAATTAAGCAAGTTGTCTTTGTGGATGGAACGTCTCTTAGAAGGTTCCTTACAAAGGTTCTATATTCCATCATGGCCTGCATTGGACTGAAGGCATTTAAAAGAGATTCTAACATTACAAACTTTTTAAGATGACAACCATGGACGATTCTTTCCAGGAATAAACAGTCATGAAAATGGACAGTAGGTTTTAGATGAATGCTCCTAGGCCTAGTGAGTAGAAATATCTTCCTACATCTTTGACCTAGGATCGAAAGATGAAATATACTGAAGTCCTCTGTACCAAATTGTTCTTGTATTTGAATGCTGTACTATCTAAGACAAAAACCAGTCTATTTTCCTTTAATGTCCTGTTCACCACATCGCCTCTGTCCTCTTTTCTCAGTGGAAGAAAACCTGGGAGTTCTTTGCAACAGTGACTCAGTTTGGACTGAATACAGTGAACCTGTTACGTAGGTCAGGTCCCCCTCTCCTTCCCAATGCTTAGCCCATAGTGCATGGCGTGATACTGGGAAGACCCTACAGACTCTCCCCCAACCTCTGCAACTCTGAAAGGCCTCATGCCAAGCATTCTTATGCATCAGCTTTCCCTGCGGTAAGTAATTTAGGAGTGTGGTTGGGGGTATCTCCCTTGTAGCAAACCGATAGCTGGTATTCCCAGACAGTTGGGGCTAGTAGGTGATCGGCATGTGTCATGCGCCTTGTGTAATAGTTCCACATGCAGCTTCACCCACTAAGCCATAACCAGGGAGGGAAGGGGGATTAGCACAGCCGTAAATACTGTAAAGATGTGGAGCCATTTAAATGTACATTGTTTTCCAGATGCCTTTCCGCTTCTGTCCATTTTTAGACTGCCTCTTAGAGCCATAACTCATGTCCTCAGATTGTAGGCATAAGCTGCTATGAGCCAGTAGACATGTAAAAGAAAATGTAAATACCTGCTAGTGAAATAGCTCGGACACCTTTCAAACAACAATGGTACATCTCTAGTACAATATTAACTCTTCTTTGTATCAAGGAACTTAATTCTTTAATGATTGTATTTTTGAACTGTTACCCAAAAATGCTGTCATCCAATCGTCTGTTACATGTGGAATTAGTTTTGTTGTAGACAGAAGTTTGCAAGATGCTTCGTTTCAGCTTCTCTCACTTTGCTTTTATCCTCAGCTCTTAACATACAGGTTGCCTTTTTTTCTTCTTTTTAACCCGTGGTTCATTGTAAAACTGAACTGGTTCTAGCCTGTGGCATTACTGTACTTAATTATATCAGATAGGCTCTCTACCAGCCATTTGGCTTGCCTAACGAGCTGGCTTTTTGTTAGAGTAAAGTAGTCACAAATAAATGGTCTCTTGCTGCTGCTACCTAAAAATCAAGTTAAATTGAAAAGGTTTCTTTTCAAAGCAGGGAATTAGACTCTTGTGACACTACTACTTTCTTTCCTCTCTGTTCATCTGCGAAGACACAATCACTATCTAATGCTTGCTGTAAACTCAGTAAACTGCTCCAAAGTGCCCTAGACAGGAATTTGAGGCTTCCACAGGATGCATGATGGCCAAATTCTGCATGAGTTTTCCTTTGATTCAGATTGAGATTAACACCTGTGCAGCAGTCTGAACCTTCTTGTGAAGCACTTCTCCCAAGCATGGGAGATTACTTTAAAACCTCACTACGCTCACCCCTCCCCTAAAAGAGTAGCTTGGTTCTATGGATAAATATTCTACCACATGAACCACCCTCTGACCCAAGTGGGATCTAGACATATTCAAGCAACCTGACTGGCTGAGGTATTCCTCACAGCTTTATAGCAGTGGGTCACTGAATTGATGATTTGCTGCATTCTGCTTTGTTTAGAGAACAGATGTGCTTCAACTAACGAAAGACCACTTGAACACTAATCATAATGCTCTTATATATAAGGGTACTGTCAGGTTCAAATATTAGAATCAACTGACCTGGTCTGTGTTACTTAGGACTTCTCAGATTATACTCTTATCTGCAGTGTGTAACTGTTTGATTACCAAGCACAAGCTGTGAGGAGGGAGCAAATTTTTCTTCTGAGGAGATCTGCCGAAATAAAATGCTGAAAAATCCTTGAACTACCTTAAAAGCCACAGACTGACTTTTCAGTCTTTATGCTATTTGTTTTGAAGCTGGTGCTGTAGTTGGTTTAGGTGATGAAATAGCCGCGTTATTTTCTGGTGTATGTAGCCAGTTGTACCTTTTGGGTTTTGCATGCTATTACACAGTGCTGCCAACCCCAGTGCTGGACACACTAGAGAAGAATCCAAATTTAAAAAGAAAATTCTTGAAGCTCTAAAAGTAGCCACACAGTGTCTCCAGGCGTGGGTTAGGCCCAGCAGGAGCGTTTACTAAACCTGGATGTTCATGTCTCTTCTACTCAGTTTAAAGCCCTAAGAGTGATGCTGGTTTCTAAGGGCCCCAGTGTGCTTTGTAGAAGAAAGTCCCCTAGTCCAAGGATCCAGGATAAAGCTATAGACCCTATTTGGAGGGCATAAGTGCTGGGTAGGCCTCGCGCTTGTTCTTTACAGAGGGATGACTGACCCTGTGCATAAACACCTTCTGATATGGGTTTTATGGAGGGATCATTTGGACTAATACTTCTTCTGGTGGTACCACGGATTCTATTCCCTGGGGAATCAAAGTGAACACAGAACAAGGTTCCAGGCAGTCACACCAGCTCCTTTGTACTTGTATGTGATGTTTCTTTCGTGGGCTGAGGCACACTTCATCTGTTCAGCACAGGTAGCACTGCTCTGATAGCCAGATGGTTGCATTATTCATTTGGTGCAAAAGACCACTGTCACAGGCTCTGCTTGGAATTAAATATCTCTGCTTTCCCTCCACCTTTTTCCAGATGCTGCAAGACCATTACCTTGGGATAATTCTGTTGCCCCTGATTTGCTAAGTAATGAAGGAAATGCACTTGGCCATTCTCAGTTTGTGTGTGATATTTTCGTGAGTTAAGAGTGAGGAAATTTTAACTGTTAATGTACTGCTCAGCTAGAAACTCAAATAAAAGCTTTTTAAAAGTAAAACTCCTAGAAGCTGAAGCAAAACATCTTTACAACACAGGGAAATGTAGCCTAGAGTCCAAATACTGTACCTGACCTTTCCCTTTGATTGTGTGTGGCACACAGCAGCCTCGCGGCGATTGCTGACTCAGATCTGTACGGTCAGTAAAAGCTTGCCAGGAACTAATACACTACAGTAATTCAGCCTGGGAGATTGGATTGAAAAGCAGGTAAATATTTTGCACTTTTGATACTCTTAGAGGGGGGGAAATAATTTATTTGTCAAATGTCTTTTTTTAAGTTTTGTTTTTGTATTTGTGACCAAGCACTGATAATGTCATTTTGTTTTAAGATTATTACAGATTCACAACTGAAATAAACTATTTTAATGTGAGAGGAGGTGGCCTTGTATTTTAATATACCCATTGACAATGCAGCCTGGCATATGTGAGTTATTTGCAAAAATTCTACGGATGGTAACTGCTGGTATTTTAGGGAGTAATTCAGAAAATGCAATGGGCTAGTTAGTTATCTCCACTCAAGCAAGGGCTGCTTAACCAAGGACAGCTTTTGCCAAAAGCTGCCCTATAGTTTAGCCAATGTTCCTATTCAGGATGTTAAACAGTGGTTAGTAAATTAATCAGGTAATCGATAGAATTTCCATTAACTATTCAATAAGGGCATTGGCTGCGCCTTTGCTTTTTAAAGGTAGTAAGAGCTGCCAGGCTCTTTCTACATTTAAAAGGCAGAGCCGCAGCTGTCTGGGACCCAGCATGAGCCAGGACAGCTGAGGCAGCTCTTACTACATTGAAAAAGCAGAGCCACAGTGGTCTGGGACTGGGTGCAAGTCAGGACAACTGAGTCCCAGCTTGTGCCCACTCACCTCTGCTTTTTAAATGTAGCAAGAGCCTGTGCCCCAGCCTCCCTTTCCCCTCAGCATCAACTCCTGCTCTCCGGCTTTCTGCCTCTGATACAGAAACCCCAATTTTAGGTCTCAGCAGCCAGGTTTTTTATATAGAAAGAAATCGAGCCGCCATTATTGGCTCCAGGTGCTGCTAGCCATATTACTGCAGCAACATTAACATTACATCTGTCCCCCTCTCACCTTTCAAATCTGCTTTTGGCATATGAGGAGTGTGAAATGGTTTTTATTCTCCATCACAAAGCTTCATTTTCCCTCACTCCTCTAAGTGTAAAGAGCGAGGGAGGGCAGAAATGAAAAGCAAAACTTGACTGAGTTTTTCCATTTGGGCTTCTTTCTTCATTCATATTATGCTGAAGTATTTGCACAGAAAGGCTGTGAATATTAAACTCTGCTTGTAGGTGAAGAGACAGCAGTAGTGACTTTATTTGCATAAGCTGGAGGCTTCCCCTATAAGGGTTTAAAGTTTTTTGACTCCTGGGAGTGCGCACAACATTTCAAACAGCAGATTTGCTCCCATGAGGGCTGTGTTACCTATAAACACAGAAAAAACTGTGAACATCCAATCACTTCCAATTAAAGTGTCAGTCAGAAAGTCATTACTACAGGAACAAGAAGGTTCCCTCCCTCCCCCCACCTCTTCCTCCAGCACTGGTTAGTTATATCAAGGCCCCAATCCTGTAACTGCCTCCATGTTGGCAGAATCTCATTCAAGTCACAGGTGAGTTTGCCTGAGACCGGAGGTTTAAAAGCCACACACCAGTGAAAAGCTATCTGTTCTGGTCAGCTACAAATATATTTATGCTGAATGCTTTAGTTCTACCAAACTGATTTGCCTTCACAGCTGGAACCTAACCCAGCCCCAGGAAATTAGAGGAACTAATAGTTGACAGCTGAAACAACACTCAAGTAACTTAACTTTTAGTCATACAAGTTTCATTTGCTCAGAAGTTTAAGGCTGTATCTAGGGGGTGGGGGACACCCAAAGCCTGTCCCCTGATTCGCAGCTGGTGCTACTTCCCTACTGAGTGCCTCAATGGAAAGTTGTCTTTATCATTGTACAAGGGACTAGGACACACTCAGTTCCATTGGTACCATCCCTCGCTGGGGCCAGGCCCGCCGATGGGGACAAACGGGGCCCCTGCACAGGGGCCTTGTGTTTCAAAGGGGCCTGGTGCTCCTGCCACGAGCAGTGGTGGCTACAAGCTCCGGGCCTCTTTGAAACCGCGCAGGAGGGCCGCTCCATGTGGCTCTGAGGACTAGGGAGGGGAAGGGCCTCGCACCATGCTCTGGGTGGGACTAACAACTTCCTGAGTTGGGCCTCCCACACCTCGCCCCCGGGCCCGCAGCAGCTGTTGGTTACTGAGGAGTTTGAGGAGTAACCTTAGTTCAGACTAAGGGCTTTAGTCCGAACTAACGTGTCCCGGCGCGCACTTCCTGGTTCGAATCAGCTGCGATTCAAACTAGCACACCGGCGAGACCATGTTAATGGAGCGCGGGATATTTAAATCCCCGCTTCATTAACTACTTCAGTCGTCTCCATTTGCATCCCTAGTTCGAACTAGGAATGCAGTGTAGACGTACCCTGTGGGAGCTGCATCAGTGAACACACATCCACCTTTGGGCAGCATCAATGCAAACAAAGGCTCCAAGTTGGCCCCTTTCTGCCTATAGTTCACATTGAAATCACTCTCAAGGCAGAGTGGCCCCACTGTTCTTAGCTCTACAGATCTCCAGGAACAGATAGAGTTTGTATTTGCTTTTGTATAAACAATCCCTTCTCCCCCCTGCATGACCCAGGCTATCTGTGTATACCGGGGTGGCCAAACACAGCTCTTCTGCAGTTAAAGTGCTACTCACAGAGCCCTCCAAACCCCCTCTCCTATTCTCCACCTATCGGGATGGGGCAGGAATTTGGGATCTCTGCCTTGCAGCAGGGTGATGGGGAAGGGACTTCTGTCAGGGTGCGGGGGGGAGTCTCAGGACTTCAGCTCTCAGGAAACTCAAGAGCTTCAGTAGGAGTGGGGCTGAAGCCCTGACCCCTGGCAGCTGCCTCCCATGGAGTAGAAGTTCCAAGCCCTGGAAGATTCACCACAATGCTCAAACTTCTAAAGATTGTTGTGAGAGACTTGGGGGGGGGGGGCAGTAAGTTTGGTCACCTGGGATATATACACATGGCAAAGTTGGTCCCATTGATAATGCAGAGTTCTGCTAAAAAGAGACAGGCTTGTGCACTGCCCGAGGCAGAGCTAATGCCCACATTATCTTGTAGGATGTGCTTTGCCAGTCAACAGTTTCTACACGTAATTGGTTCAACTATTGACTTTTCTAAATTAAAATCATTTTAAATATTGGGTTTTCTTCATTGCTAGGGAAGCAGGACTGATGTTGCTGTATTAACCTGGCTGGCACAGTAGTACAGAGGAAGCATTGCTTAGTGGTTAAAGCATAGAACACTCAGCTGAGTTTTGATGGATGTTGAGGAAGCCACACCTTGGTTATTCAAGAACTGCAGCCTCTTGTTTACATGGCACTGTGTGTCTCCAACATCCTGGGGGTAAAACACTCTTCCATACCCTGAAACAGCTGTTTCTAAGAACTACTTTGCATTTCCTTAAATAGTCTCCTGCAACATGCCATTTGAATGCTCTTTAATACACACGGTAGGGTCTAGCTGACGATACATTTTTCCCACCGCCTTCACTATGTTATCTAGGATGCCCACGCTGTCTAGGACAGTTTTGTTTTGATCTCTAACCCAGTGCCCACAGCAAAGCAGGAGCCACTCTACGACTGACAAACCTTGGATATAGCAGTTCTCTAAGTTGTGTTTATTGTCCAACTATTGTCCCCTTTGACTCACCAGAAGCATCGTACACCGGTGCAACTTCAACAAGATCACATCCCACTATATTCAGTCCTTGGCAACCACGAATGATCTCCAAAGCCTATGGAAGGTTAATAAAGGGCAAGTTTTTCAGTTTCTGAACTGTTCGTTTTGAAAGCATTCTACACAAAGAGACATGAGTTTGTTGTTAAAGGCAGCAGAAGTGAAACCTGTGAAGATACGGTCTGCACATTCCCTTCCAAGATCACCGCTGTAACCGAAGGCTCTCTGTTTCATGCTGAACAGACGGAGCAGGAAGCAGAGGATCAGATGTATAAATACTGAGACCTTGTCTACGCTGAGAGAGAGGGTTGAATTCATGAAGGTAGAATTTTAGCATCTCATGGTCGAAGGGGCACGGCCTCGCTGTGTGAAAGATTTCAACCTAGTGCGTCCCCAGTAGGGTGGCGACCGTTGATTTTGAGACCCGTGTAGTGTGGGTAGCTACCCCACAGTTCCTGCCACCCTTTTGCATTATGCTCCAAGTGCCTGATGAGACCAAAACAATGCAGCGGGCGGTTCTGGGTAGGGATGCCAATGTGTGGTCAACTACATGATTAACCAATAAACCTTGGCTTATCGGTTAATCCTATCGACTACACTTGCACGTGCGCACGCACGCTGCCTCTCTGGAGAGAGAAGAGAAAAGCAGTGTATTACTATCCCCCTGTGCAGCAATCAGGCGGTGTGAGGACAGCCTTTTGTTCCAGGAGCAAAATGCAGGACAATGTAGCACTTTAAAGACTAACAAGATGGTTTATTAGATGATGAGCTTTCGTGGGCCAGACCCACTTCCTCAGATCACATAGTGGAAGAAAATAGTCACAACCATATATACCAAAGGATACAATTAAAAAAAATGAACACATATGAAAAGGACAAATCACATTTCAGAACAGGAGGGGAATGCAGGGGGGGGGGGGGGGGGAGGAAGGAAGGTAGGTAAGTGTCTGTGAATTGATGATATTAGAGGTGGGGAGAGTGGGATGTTTGTGAGTTAATGGTATTAGAGGTGATAATTGGGGAAGCTATCTTGGTAATGGGTAAGATAGTTTGAGTGTTCATTCCTTGTTGGAGAGTGTCGAATTTTAACATGAATGACAGTTCAGAGGATTCCCTTTCAAGTGCAGATGTAAAAGGTCTTTGTAGCAGAATGCAGGTGGTTAAGTCATTGAGAGTGTCCTTTCTGGTTAAAATGGCAAGAAACTGTTTTTTCTTTGTGATCTTGTCTGATATCTGTTTTGTGGGCATTAATCCTTTGGTGAAGTGTCTGAGACGTTTGTCCAATGTACATAGCAGACGGACACTTTCGGCACATGATAGCATAGATTATATTTCTGGATGCGCAGGAATATGTTCCAGGACACATCCCTGCGGGTTCAGTGTGAGGCTGCCCTTGACTCCCTCCCCCTCCTGCACTCTAGGGCTCCTGGGAAAGGGACTCACACAGACACCAAAGGAGCCTGTAGGAGAGTGGGGGAGATGGGCAGGAGTTCAGACTCCGAGGAGCCTGTGGATGGGAGGGACCGTGGCAGAGTTGAAAGTCCTGGCCAGAGCGGTCCCAGCAGGGCACTGTGGAACGCCTCCAGGAGGCCAAGAACGTCAACTTTCACAGCGGTACATCTGCACTACCCTAAAGTTGACCATGCAAGCTCAAATGTATGATTACTCCTGCTGCTCACGGGGACAGAAATAGACTTCTAGGACCTATAACGTGGATGGAACAGGCTTGGTAGGGTGGACTCGTTTAGAAAATCGACCTAATACAGTTACATTCGACCTAAACTCGTAGTTTAGACTAAAACTGGAGACCCCATCAAAGTGGCTATCAGCTCAGTCTCTCTTAGCGGGGAGTTTTCCCACAATAGAAGGCTAAATACCAATCTCTCTCCATATTACACTTTGGGGCTACATCTACACTGGTGCGTTGTCACACAAAAACTCTTTTGCGGAAGAGTTCTTCTGCAAAAACTCTTCCAGAAGAGAGCGTCTACACTGGCATGTGCTTTTGCGCAAGAGCATCCATGCCCGTGTAGACACTCTCTTGCGCAAGAAAGCTGACGGCCATTTTAACTATAGGGCTTTCTTGCGCAAGAAATTCATGTTGCCTGTCTACAATGGCCTCTTCTGGAAGAGCTCTTGCGCAAGAGGACTTATGCCTGAGCGGGAGCGTCAGAGTTCTGGTGCAAGAAGCCCTGATTTTATACATTAGAATGTCAGTTTACTTGCGCAGGAACACGCAGCCAATGTAGACAGGCAGCAAGTTTTTGCACAAGAGCGGCCGCTTTTCCGCGAGATCGCACCAGAGTAGACACAGCCTAGGAGTCCTCAATTATTTCAATTCTGATACGCCAGTTTTCTTTTTTTTAAAAGGATTTCTAAATTCCACTTAGATCCTTAGATTTCAAGGGGGCAGAAGGGGTAAATCCTGGAACTTCCTTTAAAAGGAGCCAGGTTTCTCCTGTTTCCACTCCGCACGTTCAGGAAAAAGTCTGAGCAACTCCTTACCTGAGCAGGTGTAAGGCCAGCAATTTCAGGAGTCCCCGTGCCAGGGGCATATGCAGGGTCTAATCCATCAATATCAAAGCTGATGTAAATGGGCTTGGCTCCCATCTGCTGTCTCACCTCCCCCATCAGTGGGACCAATGACTTCATCCAGCAGTCTTCAGCCAGGACGACGCGGAAACCCTGTTGGAGGAAGGGAAAACATGTTTGGCTTCCACTGCCTGAAACACGCTGCTGGGGAAAGGAAGCCGGTGGAGAGAGCGGTGATCCAGTGCGACGTTCCTGAAACAGCTCCCCCAAGCCGTGATTTCTCTATATGCCCCTTTAGCACCCTCCTCTCTCCCCAGCGCTCAACGAGTTACATGCAGCGTTGCCAGTTAAATCATTGTCTCACTAGAGCTAGGTGTTTAAAAGTTGTTGTCGTTGACCACAATTCCATGTAGTTGTTGACTGGAAATTTACAGTTTCAATATCAAGGTAAAGGCCTATATATAACATGCTTGTATGTGGAAACGTATAATAGGTTTGACGAGCCTGAACAGAGATTAGCTACTTCGTGCAGCTGTGTCTGTTAGGTCAAAGGCAGCGCTCTCATTTCAGTCACATTGATTCTAAAACGTTATTTATAAACAGCGAACCAGCCTACATTCAAACGCTGCTGTTTACTGGCGTCCTGCGATGTTTAAAACATGCGGCTGAGAGTTAGCACGGAATTGCCGGGCCGGTGAAAACGTACCACTCCTCCTTGTTCTCACGGTCACACTTCTCAGCCCTCCCTCTCCCCCCTAATTTTGAGCACCCGCTCCCTAGCTAATTTCAATTGCTGGGGGAAACACAGCTCCTTAGCACTAAGCAGATCATCACTGGGGCTTCCAGCCATTCCGTGGCCTTGCCTTTGCTCTGTCTTCCATGACACCCCCATCCCCAGAAGGACAGACTGTGGTCTCAATCTACCTTGACAAGTAGTGCTTTTTCCATAGGTGAAGCTGTTTATGGGCACATGTGGCTGGAAACAGCACAGGCGTGATAGCCGCGAGTGGGCAGTGGTGCATTTCACCTGCCATCGGATGCAACAGGAGGAGGGGGACACTAAGGACACGTCTACACAGCAAGGCTAAACTTGAAATAAGCTACGCAACTTGAGCAACGATAATTGTGCAGCTTATTCTGACTTTTGGCGCTGTCTACGCAGCTGTTATTTCGAGATAGAGCACCCTTCCCCCAACTTCCCTTACTCCTCGCACAATGAGGGTTACAGGAGTCAGAGTAAGCAGACCTCCAACTCGACGTTATTTCGACATTATGTCAAAATAACTGTCAGTGTGTAGGCGCGGACTGTGGTATTTCAGAGTAATGTCAGTTATTCCGAAATAACGCTGCTGTGTAGACATAACCTAAATTAAAAGAATGGCAGTAGGTGGCATTTTTTTCCTATTCTATGTGTCCTAGATGCTGGGGTTGGACTGGGATACATGTTCCGTGCAATGGCATCACTTAGGGTACGTCTACACAGCAGCGTTACTTCGGAATAACTGAAGTGATTTCAAAATAAAGTGCGCGTCTACACAGCAAACTGCTATTTCGAAATAATTTTGAGATGGCGGACTTCTTACTCTGACTTCTGTAACCTCATTTCATGAGGAGCGAGGGAAGTCGGGGGAAGAGTGTTCTTCCTTCGACTTCCTGCTGTGTGGACAGTGCCAAAAGCCGAATTAAGCTAGTTTGACATCAGCTACGCTATTGACGTTGCTGAAGTCGCATATCTTAATTCGACTTTTGCCCTGCAGTGTAGACATGCCCTCAATGAATAAGATCATCTGGCACCTCTTGCCTTTACACAAAACCACACTCTTAGGAAGAGGGACATATTGTTATTCCCAGGACTGCACGCCATGGGTGTTTTGGCCCTGGCTACATAGGCAGAGGCCAGAAGAGAGTAGAGGAGGTTTTGGCAGCAGTATACACTACTGGTACCTGATCCCGGTTGTATTTGTAGGGATCCAGAGTGTAGGAGGAACCTCTGATTCCGATCTGAACCACGCGTTTGCAATCCAGAAGCCCCTCCTCCACACAGCGTCGGAACGGCGTCCCGTGGTAGATCTTCTCCCCCAGCGCTTTATCACCTGTGTCGGTATGAGCGTCCACATGCACCAGTCCCACGGGACCATGCCTAATTGGGACAGGGCAAGCACAGACGTGGCCTTAGCTCCAGCTCTGTGCTCCCAACCAACACATACATACACACACACACAGGTGGATCTCTCTGACCTTGTGCAACCCTTCATAAAATCTAGGGTTCTTCACTCTGACAGCCATCTAAACTCCAAACAGGTCATAGAACCGATTTCAATGGCCTAGGACCTCTCAACAGGCATGTGACTATTCAGCGGGTTGAGGAAAGCAAGAAGCACATGATCTCTCACCAATTAACTCTGCAGCAAAGAGAACCAGAAACAGAGTGTGGACACACGATGCCAGCTGAGATCAGCAGAAACTGGCTCTGGATAAGTGAGCAGAGCAAATGGGAAGATTTCCAGCCTCTCACTACTGATTGACAGATACTGCTGCAGCTGGACTTTATCCTCCATATGACTCTCCCACCCAGTCTGAATAAACGAATCCTGAAATCCCAGATGTAAGAGAAACCATTTAAAAGTTACGAAGAATAGCAGGACACTAAGATGGCTCCATCATGAGCTTTTTAGATGACCTGAAAATTATATAGGAAGTCTACAAAACAGCAGAAACGTGGACAATTTGCTGATGAGGCATATCAAAGAATAGCACAAGCATGGAGGGACAAAATCGGAGAGATGGGCACAAAATGAGTTACCCCTCCAAGGGGGATAAAAGACAATCAAAAGAGATTCTCTGAATATATGAATAGGATGAGAAAGACAAAGGCAAGTGTAGGTCCTCGGTTTAGCAGTGAAGAGAGCTAATAGCCAACAACATGAAGGCTGAGCTATGTAATGCCTGTTTTGCTACAGTCTCCACTAAAATGGAAATTGTGACACAGTACTTAATAAATGTTAAGAACAAGGAATGCAATGGGGAAGGAATGCAGAACAGAGGAAGAACACGCTGACTACATCTAACAAATATTTTCAAGACAGCAGGCCCTTTTGAAATTTGTATTCGGGTACTTAAGGAACTAGCTGGAATGGATCTGAGAACTAGAATAGCTAGATACAGCGTAGTCAAACACTGGAATAAATTGCCCAGGGCGTTTGTGGAATCTCCATCTCTGGAGACATTTAAGAGTAGGTTAGATAAATGTCTATCAGAGATGGTCTAGACAGTATTTGGTCCTGCCATGAGGGCAGGGGTCTGGACTCGATGACCTCTCGAGGTCCCTTCCAGTCCTAGTATTCTATGATTATGTTTGAGAACCCGTGGAAGATAAGTAAGGTCCCAGGGGACTGAAGAAAGGTAAACATAAGAGCTGTGTCTAGACTGGCAAGTTTTTCCAGAAAATCAGCCGCTTTTCCGGAAAAACTTGCCAGCTGTCTACACTGGCCACTTGAATTTCCGTAAAAGCACTGACGATCTCATGTAAGATCGTCAGTGCTTTTCCGGAAATACTATGCTGCTCCCGTTCGGGCAAAAGTCTTTTTCTGAAAGACTTTTGCGCAAAAGGGCCAGTGTAGACAGCACAGTACTGTTTTCCACAAAAAAGCCCCGATCGCGAAAATGGCGATCGGGGCTTTTTTGCAGAAAAGCGCGTCTAGATTGGCCACGGATGCTTTTCCGCAAAAAGTGATTTTCCGGAAAAGCGTCCTGCCAATCTAGACGCGCTTTTCCGAAAATGCTTTTAACGGAAAACTTTTCCGTTAAAAGCATTTCCGGAAAATCATGCCAGTGTAGACGTAGCCAAGGGGAATAAAGAGGACCAAAAGAATTGCAGACCAGACAGCCTAACTTTGATTAAGAAAGAATCTGGACTATATTAAATAAGAAATTTGTAAGCACCTACAGGATAACAGGGTTAAAAGAATAGCTAGTATGGATTTGTCAAGAAATCACCGCAATCTAACCGAATTTCCTTCTCTAACAGGATTACTGGTCTAAGTTGGTTAGGGGGAAACTGAGGACACAATGTAAATAGATTTCAGTAAGCCTTTGGACACAGTCCCACATCAAATTCTCATACGCAAACTAGGAAAAAGTGGTCTAGAGAAAATTACTGTAACATGGGTACAAAACTGGTTGAAGACTGTCCTCAAAGAGTATTTAATCAATGGTATGCTGTCAAGCTAGGGGAATGTGTCTGGTGGAGTCCCGCAGAGGTCTGTCCTGCATCGTGTACTATTCAACAACGACATGGACAATGGAATGGAAGTGGATGTTGTACAAATTGCCAATGACACCGAGCCAGGAGGGGTTGCTAGCACTTAGAAGGCCGGTATCAGAATTCAGAACAATTTTGACTAATTGGAGAACCAATATGAAATCAACAAGATGAAATTAAATAAAAACACTGAGAAAAAGACAAAGGAGATGCACAGCTATAACATGGGGAACAACTGACCAGGTGGCAGGACGCTGAAAACGATCTGCTGGTTGCAGCGGATCATAAATTGATTATGAGTAAACAATGTAGCGCTGTTGCAACAAAGATCATCATCAATCTGGTGGGCATAACTAGGAGTGCTGTAGGCAAGACACAAGCAGATAAATTCTCTGGCTTCTCCCATCAACTGGAGTACTGCGTCCTGGTCAGGACACCACACTTTATAGGAACATGTTAAACAGGGAAGGTCTCAGGATAATTGGCCTTGCCACAGTGCAGGGAGCTCTTGAGGTCCTTCCAGCTTCATATTTCTATGAACTGCCCAGTAGAGCACAGACTCAACAACTCAAGGGGGAAATCACTTCTATCACCACAAGGGGTCAACTTTTACACATGCCACATTTTCAGATTTTAAACTTACTTTTCTGCCACCGCCTGCAGGATTGGGTATGTTATTGTGTGATCTCCACCTGCAACGGGACAGGGAACAGAGAACACGTCAGCATTGATCAAATATATTTTCCAGCCATAGGCGCTCCATTCATATTGCACCTCTCGGGAACACATCAGCACTTTACAAAGAGAGATCATCCTTTATTCACCTACCTGCCATCCCAGAGCATTAAATTGGTGGCAGATAGTAAGAGAAGTTGCCCGTTTTTAATACTAAAAGCTCTCAAAAATCCACCCAGCTTTTGTTCTCTTGCTGCAGCTGGTACTCAAGGCCAGCTTCTAAATGTAGATACTGGGCATACAGATGTATATTCAGGGGATGCTTCATCCACTGCTTGCAGCTGCCTCTGGGGTGGGTCGCAGCTGAGATTTAACAACCCACAGCAGGTCGCAGCTGAGATTTAACAACACACAACAATGCTAAACAGTTGAGGAGTGGAATAACCCAGTTTGTCACTGAAACGTCAATGGGAATTTGGGAAGGCAGAGGACATCTCTTGCATGGAATCTTTAATGAGCACAAGCCGTCTGGAACTCTGTTTTACAAAGTTTTACCTGAAAGACTGCACCTCCTACTGACTCGGAGGGAAGATCGCTCCATATCAGGGATGTAAAATCCATTTAGTCATTTAATCAGTTAAACGTTAAGTTTAACCAGATAACTGGGACATTTAGTCATTTAACCAGTTAAACGTTAAGTTTAACCAGATAACTGGGATCTCTAGTGGGACTGTCAGCTGCCCGACACCCAGCAGTGGGCTCAGCAGGGCTGGAGCAGCCCTCCACCCGCAGCAGGCTGTGGGTAGGGGGCTGCTGCTGGGCGCTGGTTAATCAGCTACCACAACCATCATCCATAACTAGCATCAGGGTTACATTCAACCCCCTGCCCATCCTCACACTGCTGCCTCTATGTCAGAGGCAGCAGCGTGGGAGGGGGCAGGTTGGAGCCAGTGCTTGCGGGGAGGGGTACAGAGGCAGTAGTGCAGGGGAGAGGTAGGTCGCTCCCTGCGAGCCGCCTTCTCTCTCCCCTCTCCTATCCAGTGTAATCATGTAACCAGTGACATTTTCAGCAAGTTACACGTTTATCTAAATAAATGCATTTTAACATCCCTACTGCTTAGCTGTGAGACCTGGAGAGCCCACCATACATAGTAGAAGAGCTCCAGTTCATAAAGAAAAATCTGACAGTTCCTAGTTGCAATAGCCTACCTCGTATTTTGGTAAACGGGATGACAGGAGATCTGCGAGTGTTTGGATTTGACTAGTGGGAAGGGTGCTTCGGCAGCAGTTTGAGGAGAGGGATCCCAGCTATGTGTTATAAATACAGGCACAGTCCTATATACAGACTCAGGACATTTGAGTAGACTGAACCTGACTTGTAAGCTTTCTCCTGACTGCCTACGTTCCCAACAGTGAAGTGAGTGTCGGATTGCAAAGTCACAGGCGTCCCAAGGTAAAACAAACAGGCAGTGCACGTGGGCAAAGGACCCTCCACAGGCTGGATCCAGCCCATCAAGCTGGTCCTGCTGCTCCCCCACCTCCAGGCTAATCAGGGCCGGGGGACAGGTGAGTGTGCAAAGTCTCATCGCCTCTGCAAGAGCACATGGCAGTTAAAGAAACACACCAGCTGTTTCAAAACAGCCAACGTTTATCTCTAGCTGCTGCGGGCTTTTGGCAGGGGGAGGGAGGAGCTTTGTACGATCCCGGCCCCCAGGCCAATCAGGGCCTGGGGGAAGCACGCAAAGTCTCGCGTGTCCTGACCCCACCCTGCTGGGGACGCGCAGCAGCTAGAGACAAGCCAGCTGTTTGGGGGACAGGTGAGTGTGCAAAGTCTCATCGCCTCTGCAAGAGCACATGGCAGTTAAAGAAACACACCAGCTGTTTCAAAACAGCCAACGTTTATCTCTAGCTGCTGCGGGCTTTTGGCAGGGGGAGGGAGGAGCTTTGTACGATCCCGGCCCCCAGGCCAATCAGGGCCTGGGGGAAGCACGCAAAGTCTCGCGTGTCCTGACCCCACCCTATGTCTCTCTAGCCCCTGTGCGCTCTTGCAGGAGCGAGGAGACTTTGCGCACTCCCCAGCCTCAAGGCCCTGATTGGCTTGGGGGTTGGAGGACTGCAGAGCAGCCATGGGCCTGATCCACTGGCTTGGCAGGCTGGATCCGGCCTCCAGAGTGCCCATTTCTCTTTAAGGGGCAGAGTGGGGGAAGACTTCTCACGTTCCCCCACCCCAGGCCAATCAGGATGGAGAGAGAAGCACAAGAAGTCTCCTGACCCTTCCACTCAAAGCTCCGCCCCTTCCAGGGTGGCCGGGGGCCACTTCAGAAGTTTCTAGCAGAGAGAGCGTAGGACAGTCTCCTCTCATTAGGCACCTACAGGAAACCGCCAGCTGTTTTAAAACAGCTGGAATTTCTCTTTAAGGGGCAGAGTGGGGGAAGACTTCTCACGTTCCCCCACCCCAGGCCAATCAGGATGGAGAGAGAAGCACAAGAAGTCTCCTGACCCTTCCACTCAAAGCTCCGCCCCTTCCAGGGTGGCCGGGGGCCACTTCAGAAGTTTCTAAAGTGGCCCCCTTTTAAAAACTATTGCCCACCACTGACATATACCAATACAAGTCCTGATGTTTTCTCCCTCCACATACCATCAGCAAACGCCATTTGGCTGAGTGATGTGCTAATGAGAGGTATAAAATGTTGACTCGCTAACACCTCCAAGTCGTTTTTTTTTCATCCAGTTGCAAAAATCTGAATGTTTTAGGAAGACCCAGAAGTGGGAGACTGAAATATCTCCATGGGGAGGAGGAGGAGAGTGTCACACCTCTGCATTCACAGCACCCTGTTAATAAATTGGTCTCTATCCGTTGCAGTCTATGGGGTGGAAGGAGAGAGATGGCCTTAATGGATCCTGTTGTCCTTTCGGCTGCCCACTTACTAGCCAGCACTGCAACAGCAAAGCATGAGACGGGGCCCAGGCGTGGGGTCCTTACCCAGCGTGAGGGGAATGCAACCGGCTGCCACAATCTTCTGATAGGCTTCTCGGATTTGCCTGCAGCTCTCCAGCAGGTTGTAGAGGTTCACGTTCACATCGCCTATGTCGGCCACCATGAGGGAATGGAAAGGTGCAGCCCCGGTGCTGGGATTATATGACCTCACCATGCTCGACTCGGCCCGAATATGGCGAGGGCCAAACCTGGAAAGGAAAGAATTGAACACGTCATTCTCGGGGATGGTTTGAGAAGGAAACTTGCACAGACCCACGGGATTCTGAACACGCGGCTAATTGGGCACAAACTCCTTCCAGACTCTTAGGAGTTGGTCTCACTCGGAAGACCACTGGGGCAAACATGTCAAGGGGGATTATTGTAATGGAATAGCCGACGTCAGATACATAATGAGTGTGACCTATTGGCTTTAGCACATGGATCATCTGTCGATCCAGGTAGAGAGCTTACTGCAAAGCTAGAGTGCATGCAAAGATTTTCACATGCAACTATGATTCTAGGTGGCCAACTTGAGGACTTACAGGGGCCTGATTTTCAAAAAGGCTCAACACCCACCTTTTAAAACTCCGCTCACTTTAAAGTTTCTCTATTGGGTACCCTAAATTATCAGGGGTTTTAACAACTCTTTGCCAGTCACACTAGATCTGGGGTGGGCAATTTTTTGGCGGTGGGAGGGCGCTGCCAAGATTTTGGTAAGTAGTCAACTTTTCTATGGAGGTGGTGCAGGGTCTAGAATAGAGGTTGGGTGCAGAAGGGAGCTCAGAATAGGGGACTGGGCGCGGGAGAAGGTGAAGGGTTTGAGGAGTTTGGGCAAAGGAAGGGATTGTGATGTGGGGCAGGGAATTGGGGTGCATGCTCCAGGTGGGAGCATGAGTCCTGGAGAGGATTGTAGCCTAAGTGAAGGGTGTAGGAGGGGATACAGGGTTTGGGAGGGAGCTAGGGTGCTGGAGGGGGAGTGGTCTCGTCAGGAGGTGCTTACCCAAGTAGCTCCTGGCCAACCGCATTCTCAGGCAAGCTTCCCTGCCTGCCAGCAGCCCTCAGCTGGCTGTTTCAGGTGGCGCTCTGTGCTGCAGGGGGGAAGGCTTCATGTGCTGCTCCCACCATGGCAAAATCTCTCAGCTCCTATTGGCTGGAAACCGGGGGCTGGGCCACAGGCAGGATTAAAAGGCTTGGAAGGCTGAATCCAGCCTGCGGCCAGAGCTTGTGATTCTGCCCTAGCACTCGATTTACAATAAGGTGTCTGACTGGAGCCCCACATAACAAATATGCTTTCTAGCGACTAAAGCTTAATCTTAGCAAGTTACAAACTTTACCTAAGCAAACTTCACCTAAACTTTACTCACATATTCCCAGCAACTCCAGCCATTTGGGCAGGAGGCCTTTACAAGCTATATGGTCCCCTAAGTGATGGTTATCTAGAATGGGAAATAGAAAGTAGAGCAAATAGGCAAAGTCTATTATTGTCTTTGCATCAAGAGCTGGGTAGACGTCATGGGGGGTACAGATTCTGTCCCTTGACATTCTGCTGCTTGTTAGCTTGATTGCTCTGGTTCCATCATATCTAAATGAACCTTCATTGGCCTTTGGCTTATAGAGGTTGACCCAGAAAGATAAATCCACATTCGTCTTAAGCCAGGCTGTTTTATCAACTTTCTCCACAACAGATTATAGGTACGTATTTCCAGCACCCACACACACACCCCCCTCTGTGCACCACCCATCCATACATCACACTGATCGTCATGACCAACATGTCACCTGCTTTCATAAAAGACCTTTACTCGATGTGCTTGTACAGTACAATAATATCACAATCAATGAGTTGCTTCAACTGAAAATCCTTTAGGGTGTTTCCCCCCTGGATGTCTGGACCTTGATTGTCACATTACAAACCCACTCTGAGCGCTGGCCCCAGAACAGGACTGAATGGACACCAAGAGCAACCCGGCAGTCAGTCCCGTGTATTTCACAGCCATGGGAGCCTGCAGAGAGGGGGGTGCAGCAACGAGCAGCCAGAGGAACCGGGAAGGGCATGTGGGGCACCCTATTTAGCAATGAACATTTTGGCCAGGGCACAGAGGGGCGATGCACCTTCCCCAGTGCTGCCAGGAGTCACCTGTGCTCACAGCGCTGAGCCCCCTGGGGATTTTTTGGACTCTGTTCAACATGAGGCTTCGATTTTTCCCGCGGGGCACGGTCACCAGGCACCAAGGGCCCGTGTTCCTGGGGTGGTGGCTCCCCCCTACCTTGCGCCAGGGCGGTTGGAGGTTCCTGTGTCCAGGGGCACCCCAACAAAAGCAGCATCCAGCCCCTCCGGTGAAGTCTGGACGGGCAGCTTCAGCATGGAGCAGATCCCCACGGGCCGGGCTACGAACTGCGCGCTGGGGGGCACATTGAAGCTGGAACCAGCGAGAAAGCGGCGAGGAGGGCCGTGCCCCAACAGCAGGCTCTTAAAGCACCCCGAAAGGCAGCCTGGCAGGGAGTCAGTGGCAGCCCCCACATGCAGGTTGGCTCTGGGGATGCTCAGCGCAGCGCGTTCTCCCCAGCAGCTGCCCGCTGCCCCGCAAGACCAGGCGCTCCATCCCGCGCACGGCGGGCCCCGCAGGCTCCGAGCAGGGGGGCGCCGGGAAAGCAGAGACACGCTGCGCTCCCTCCCGCGGGCGGGTCCAAAGTGCAACCCAGACGCCTGCAGCCGCCTGGGCGCTACGTCCTTCCCCATCTCTCTTCCCTCTCCTCCTCCCCCCAGCTTTTGCCCCTCTTGCATTCTGGGAACTGGAGTCTTTCCCCGTTCTGGTTGTGCCACGTGCAATGACCCCCAAGGCCTGCTCAGACAAGAGCCGGAGCACTTGAATTTGTGCAGCAGGATGCCAAGTGGCAGTGGGGGTAGGGGGAGGAGGCTAGGTTGGCTATTAGGAAAAACTGTTTCCCTAGGAGGGTGGTGAAGCACTGGGATGGGTTCCCTAGGGAGCTGGTGGAATCTCCATCCCTAGAGGTTTTTAAGACCCGGCTTGACAGAGCCCTGGCTGGGATGATTTAGCTGGGAATGGGATTGGTCCTGCTTTGAGCAGGGGGCTGGACTCAATGACCTCCTGCGGTCTCGTCCATCCCTAGGGTTCTATGATGCCAGCCACCCTTACTTTCCAGAGACTGGGCCAGGTTCCTCAGTCAAGCAACCTGGAGTCCTGCAGGCTGCAGCCCCACAGGATTAAAGGGAAAGGCAGCCACAGGCCTAGCTGCAGAACTGCCTGGGCAGCCGCTGCTTGTTAGTCAAAGGGATCCTTGGGCAATTTGCCAACTTCACCACTGGAAAGATGAAGAGGAGGTGCCGGCACGGCCCCACTGCCGTGCGGCTTTTAAACAGGTCGTCACGATGGTGGAGGGGAAAGGGAAGAATTTTGTTCTTGCATCTCAGCCTCTGCCTTTCTAACTGGTCCGTTGTCATGAGGACCAGGTGATTTCAGCCTGAGCCCTGTCTATTAGGTCCCCACAAACAATTCTCTAAGGGAGTTCTGGGGATTTGCCCCACTTCCTCCATGCCCAGCTGACCTAGTGCAAACCATGGCCTAAGGTCTACATAGTTACAGTTTGCAACAGTGGAGTTCACAGCAAAGTCAGCTGCATCAGTACAAATTGCAGCTCTTCTTTTCTAGAGGGTATGTCCTGGGGCACCTACCAGTGGAGAACTGAGGCTGCCATCTACATGTCTCTGTGAAGTGTTCTCCTTTGGATAGATGTGTTGTCCTCCTGCCGGGGCTAATTTTAACTGCTGGACTGAAGATCATTCCAGACTGAATTCCTGAGGCTCACCTGGGCTTCATACCAAACTGGTTTGACTCAGAGGGTGCAAGGAGACTGTGGGCTGTGTTGACTACAGCAGTGCCTAAAGCCTTGAGACAAGATGAGTGAAAATACTAAGTGATGTGCTGGGTGATTAGACAAGGACAGGGTTCAGGTGGTAATGGCAGAGTCTGCTTTTCCAGCCTTCATCAGTAAAAGTAACACACCTCTTTTTTCCATCTCTATCACAGCACTGAACAGATGTATTTTCTAGGAATGTGTATTTAACGGCTCTTTTACTTTTGTCTTCACTTATGTTGTCTCTCATCTGGCATATTTAGGAGCATTGTAAGTAAAAAATGTATTTGTTAAAGCTTCCTCCTTCAGGATGCCAAGTGACTGCATGCAGAGTTCAAAAGTCTCCCTTACGTAACTCCCTGTAGTTATGTGCATTGTTTTTTTCTTCACTTTCCACAGAAGCATACGGTCATAATGAAAAGTAGAATACTGGCTTGGATGGATCAATGGTCTGTTCTGGGTTGCAAATACTGTTTCTAACTTCATTACCTGCTGTTAAACAGACGGTAGCTTCTTAGAGACCGGAGGGGCATTCACATCTGCAAAGCAAACTGATTCCAGGGTAGAACTTCTGACAATGCCTCTTCACACACCTACATGTAGATGGCAGCCTCAGCTTTCCAGTCAGAATGAGAATAAATGGATGTCATGTCACACGTGTCATTGACCCCTTTTCGTAAGCTGGAGAATTCAAGACCGTGTTTACTCCTCCCTGCAAGATGAAACCTCAGTAATCAACCAGAGTTCAACTCAGCAGTGGTTATGCAACTACTAAGCTCAGATAGAGGCACTGCTGATCCTAACACTGCAGGGTGTTACATAATACAGAGCAAAGGGGGAGGTCTTATATTCAGGAAAATTAGTTACTGTTTTCTATTCACCTTTATCACGGAAACGTCAATAAGGCTTGTCCAGGTCTCTGCTGTTACCCTGCAGATGGCAGAGCTACCGGGATGTGCTGGCACCCCACCCTAGGGGTACTTTGGGAAGCACCTCATGTTTGGAACAGTCGGCCATAAGCCATACTTTACAAGGCATGTTCAGCCTGGGAGAAAGCCCAGCCCTGAGTTCCCATTGACAGATAACAGCTGTAGGTGCTGCCATCCACAGTCAATTAGATTGAATTCTATGAAGTTATGGGATTGTTGCTGATGGCACGTTGTGCTCAAAACACCATTAACTTCTCAGGCTTCCTCTACACTACGAGTTTTCTTGGCAAAAAATATGCTAATGAGGGATACATTTGCATGAGTCGCGATCTCATTTGCATATTGCCTGCTGATTTTTTTTTCGGTAGGGTTTTTGTGCAAAAACAAGCAGTATGGATGTTTTCTTTTTGCGCAAAACCCCCTTTTCCCACCAGATCCTTATGCCTCAAAAAAGGAGGTTTACCAATCTGGCGGGAAAAGGTGTTTTTGCACAAAAAGAAAACGTCCACACTGCTTGTTTTTTCACAGAAACCCTAGCGAAAAAAACGGATCGGCAGAAAGTATGCAAATGAGATCACAAATCATGCAAATGAGCCCCTCATTAGCATATTTTTGCCACAAAAACTGGTAGTGTAGCGTAGCCTCAGGGTTTTATGGTGACTCTTTTTCCAGAGTTAGGCTTTTCCTAAATCTGTCTACATGGAACCATTTAGGTATTGCTGTTGTATGGGACCAGTTAGCCCCTTGAACTCTGAATTGAACTGAAGACATTTAAAAGAGATTCTAACATTACAAACTTTTTAAGATGACAACCATGGACAGTTCTTTTCAGGAATAAACAGTCATGAAAATGGACAGTAGGTTTTAGATGAATGCTCCTAAGCCCAGTGCGTAGAAGTATCTTCCTACATCTCTGACCTAGGTTTGAAAGATGAAACATACTGAAGTCCTCTGTACCAAATTGTTCTTGTATTTGAATGCTGTACTATCTAAGACAAAAAACAGTCTATTTTCCTTTAATGTCCTGCTCACCACATCGCCTCTGTCCTCTTTTCTCAGTGGAAGAAAACCTGGGAGTTCTTTGCAACGGTGATTCAGTTTGGACTGAACACAGTGAACCGGTTACATAGGTCAGGTCCCCCTCTCCTTCCCAATGCTTAGCCCATAGTGCATGGCGTGATACTGGGAAGACCCTACAGACTCTCCCCAGCCTCTGCAACTCTGAAAGGCCTCATGCCAAGCATTCTTATGCATCAGCTTTCCCTGCGGTAAGTGATTTAGGAGCGTGGCTGGGGGTATCTCCTTTGTAGCAAACCAATAGCTGGTATTGGGGCTAGTAGGTGATCTGCATGTTTTATGCTTCTTGTATAATAGTTCCACATGCAGCTTCACCCCCTAAGCCATAACCAGGGAGGGAAGGGGGTTAGCACAGCCGTAAATACTGTAAAGATGTGGAGCCATTTAAATGTACATTGTTTTCCAGATGCCTTTCCACTTCTGTCCATTTTTAGACTGCCTCTTAGAGCCATAACTCATGTCCTCAGATTGTAGGCATAAGCTGCTATGAGCCAGTAGACATGTAAAAGAAAATGTAAATACCTGCTAGTGAAATAGCTCGGACACCTTTCAAACAACAATGGTACATCTCTAGTACAATATTAACTCTTCTTTGCATCAAGGAACTTAATTCTTTAATGATTGTATTTTTGAACTATGTTACCGAGGAAATGCTGTCATCCAATCGTCTGTTACACATGGAATTAGTTTTGTTATAGACAGAAATTTGCAAGATGCTTCGTTTCAGCTTCTCACCTTGCTACTTCTTCCCTTTCTGTTAATCCATGAAGGCACAATCGCTTTATCTAATGCTTGCTTTAAAGTCAATAAACTCCTCCAAAGTGACCTGAAGGAGTCTGAGGCTGCCCCGCGAGTAGGTCACATTATGGTGCATGACTGCCAAATTCTTCATAAGTTTTCCTTTGATTCAGATTGAGATTAACGCCTGTGCAGCAGTCTGAACCTTCCTATGAAGCACTCCTCTGAGCATGGGAGATTACTTAAAAACCTCACTACGCTCACCCCTCCCCTAAAAGAGTAGCTTGGTTCTATGGATAAATATTCTACCAAATGAGCCACCCTCTGACCTGAGTGAGATCTATTCAAGCAACTCCAGTGGCTGAGGCATTCCTCAGAGCTTTATAGCAGTGAGATAGTGCCTGTATGAATTGGTGACTTGCTGAGTTCCGGTTGGCTTAGAAAACAGACAATGCATGGTTATTTTCTTGTGTGTGTAGCCAGTTCTACCTTTTGAGTCTTGCATGCTATTACACAGTGCTGCAAATCCTAGCACTGGACACACTACACACTGCTGGCCATATTTCTGCAGCAACATGAATACTATACCTGCTCCCCTCCCCCCAGTTCTGCTTCTAGCATAAAAGGAGCTTGAAATGGACTTTGTCTGGTGGAGAATGGTTTGTATTATCTACCACAAAGCTTCACTTTCCCACGCTCCTTCTCTAACTTCAAAGAAAGAGGGAGGGCAGAAATTAAAAGCAAAACCTGACCGAGTTCTTCCATTCAGGCGTCTGTCTTCACTCCTATTATGTTGATGTATTTGCGTGGAAAGGCTGCGACTATTAAACCCACCTTGTAGGTGAAGAGACACCGGTAGAGACTTTATGGAGTCTGCCCCCTATGAAGGCTTAAACCAGTGGTGGGCAACTTGCGGCCCGAGGGACACAGGCAGTCCATTGGGGTTCTCTGTGTGTGGCCTGCGAGATATTTTGTCCACGCACAGGGTTGCCAGATTCCGTTGGTTTCCATCCATGTCGTTTTTTCCTACCAGTATTACTGAAGTGACACATGTGCAAAGTAAGGGCACATGAAGGAAGGGGCATGCTGGTTGTACACAACATTGGCCCTTTGAGCTGTGTGCTCCGCCTGCATCCAATCACAGCGCTGCTACGGTGCAATTCCTCCCCCCCCCCCGCAATTTAGCCAAACTACCCTCTCCCAGGAGACTGTCTTCGTTATAACAATCTTGCGGTCCACTGAGTTGAAGGAGGCCATTTATACGGCCCGCTCATTAGCCTAGGTTGTTCCTTGCTGGTTTAAATTGTTTTGACTCCTGGGAGTGCGCACAACATTTCAAACAGCAGATTTGCTCCCATGAGGGCTGTGTTACCTACAAACAAAGGGGGAAAAAATCCTGTGACCATCCAATCGCTTCCAGTTAAAGAGTCAGTCAGAAAATCATTACTACGGGAGCAAGGAGTTATTTTCCAACTCTTCCTCCAGCACTGGTTAGTTATATCAGGGCCCCAATCCTGAAACTGACTCCATACTGGCAGAGTCTTGTACAAGTCACAGATTCACTTGCCTGAGACCAGAGATATAAAGGCCACACACCAGTGAAAAGTTATCTGGTCTGGTCAATTACAAATATATTTATGCTTAATTCTTTAGTGCTACCAAACTAACTTGTCTTCAGTTGGAAGCCCTAACCCAGTGGTTCTTAACCTTACTGCAGCCTGCACCCCTTTGGTTCTCAGAATATGTTCTCGCACCCCTTATTAAAAATCATTGAAGTAGGTCAGTTCTTTAAACCTAAGATATATTATAAAAATCTGACATGTCTCGCACCCCCGGAAAGGGCATCTCACACACCCAGGGGGTGCATGTACCCCAGGTTAAGAACCACTGCTCTTACCCAACCCCAGGAAATCAGAGGAACTAATAGTTGACAGCTGCAATAATATGCAAGTACAGGCAGTCCCCGGGTTACGTACAAGATAGGGACTGTAGGTTTTGTTCTTAAGTTGAATTTGTATGTAAGTCGGAACTGGTACATATTGTAGGGGAAACTCTAGCCAAACATTTCTCCAGAGCTCAGTTTTATTCTCCCACACCTCACTTCCCTCAGGCCTTTATTCTCAAGCTGAGGTGTCTGCTGAGAAAAGCCGCTCCGCGTCTCCCTGGTCTGCTGGGGGGGGGGGGAAGAGGGGCGCTAGCTTCACGTCTCCCTGGTCTGCTGGGGGGAAGCAGCTAGTGCAGGGTTGCCTCACCCCGTTTGTAAGTAGGGATCCGATGTAAGTCGGATCCATGTAACCAGGGGACTGCCTATAATTTAAGACTTAGTCATCCAAATCTCATTTGCCCCGTAGAGTAAGGCTGCATCATCAAGGCCAAAAAAAAAGCCCGCCCCCTAATTCACAGCTGGTGCGACTTCCTTCTTGTGCACCACAGAGGAAAGTTGTAGTCTTTACCATTGTAGAAGGGAAGATAACACACTCAATCCCACACCATCACTCGCTATTGCTACTCTGTTGGAGCTGCACCAGCAATGAACACACATCCAACTTTTGCCAGCATCAATGCAAACGGGCTGTGTCTATATTACAAGCCTCTTCTGCAAGAGGAAATGCAAATGGAGTGCTCATTTGCATATGTCATGCTCTCATTTGCATTTCCTCCTCAGATCCCTTTTGCACAAGAGGTTTTTGCACAAAAAAGAGCTGTGTAGATGGCTCCTTTTTGCGCAAAAACCCTTTTTGGTGCAAGAGCCGTTTTTCCTCAAAAAATGAGGAAAGGGGAGTTTTGCGCAAAAAGGAGCCGTCTATACAGCTCTTTTTTGCACAAAAACCTCTTGTGCAAAAGGGATCTGAGGAGGAAATGCAAATGAGAGTGTGACATATGCAAATGAGTGCTCCATTTGCATTTCTTCTTGTGGAAGAGGCTTATAGTATAGACGCAGCCGAAGGCTCCAAGTTTGCCCCTTTTCTGTCAATGGAAATAAATCTAAGGCAAAGTGGCCCCAGGACAGGGCCTTCCATTGTTCTTAGCTCTCCAGGAACCAGACACAATTTGTATTTGGCTGTTTAAAAAGCAAGCCCTTCTCCCCCTGCATGAGCCAGACTATGTGTATATACCAGCATGGCCAAATGCAGCTCGTCTGCAGCTAAAGTGTGGATCATGGAGCCCTCCAAATGCTTCCTCCCATTCTCCACTTACGGAGGGGAGGGGTTTGGGATCTCTGCCTTGCAGCAGGGTGATGGGGTACAGGCTTCTGTCTCATGGGGCAGTCTTGCCAGGAGGCTTGAGGCTTCGGCAGGATCCAAGCTAATGCCCCAAGCCCTGGTAGGCGCTTTCCATGGGGCAGAAGCCCTGAGCCCTGGCAGATTTGCCCTGTGACGTAGTGGGGATTGTTTCACTCTGTTCGCTTGTTACGTTGCTTGTGATTTCTACTGTCCTGTGCTGTTCTTTTGGAACTCTGAGTGCGTGGGCCTCAGTTTCCCTGGGCACTGCACTGGTGTCCTGCTGGGGATGGGAGTTTGGGGTGTGACTCTCACTGAAGGGAGGCTGCCCCAGGCTGCCCAGCTCAGCATGTTCACAATGGCCCAGACTCTCTTGTAACCTGAGCATATGTGGGGGGTGCCACCAGGTAACACCTTTCTCAGGAAGCTGGACAAAGGAGAAGGCAGGGCTGCCTGCTGGGTTGGGGCCAGCTGCTGGGTGTGTGTTAGTGTGGGCTGGCTTAGGATACAGGGAGGGGGCCAGGCTCTAGGCGCCCCTGTCCCCAAGATGGATTGTGCTGGCTGATTCTGGTTCCTGTGCTAGCAAGTCTGTTCTACTTGCGGGAGGAAAGTTGCGTCTGGCTGTGGATGGGGTTGCAGGGCTCAGACTCCCCACTCCTCCAGGCCACGCTCAGTTCTCAAACTTCTGAAGACTGCCTGGTGCACCTTGGAGGGTCCATAAGTTTAGCCACCTGGGATGTAGTAACCCACACACCTTTTGGGTGTGGTCTGCTCTACAGCTAGCTGGCATTTAGCTCGCACAGTAGAGACTCCTGTTCTAAGCTGCGGCGGTCCCGGGTTCAATTCCATCTGTCAATGTTACATATACATCTGACAAAGTGAATTCTCTTAGCAGCACAGAGTGCACTGCTAAAAAAGGCCAGCTCTGCCTTTGGCAGTACACAAGCCTAATGAAGGCATCATTTTATTACAGGCTGTGCTTTGCCTCCCACAGTTTCCACACCACATTGGTTCAAATATTGGCTTTTCTAAATTAAAATAATTTTTAATATAGGTTTTTCTTCATTGCTAGAGAAGCATGAAGTCACTTCCAATGTCAAGGGCAGAACTAAAGTCTCTGCATTAATCTGGTTGGCACAGCAGTACAGAGGAAGCATTGCTTAGTGGTTAAAGCAGAGAGTACATCTAGACTGTAGAGTTTTTCCAAGATACTGGAGGTATCCTGGAAAAGCTCTGCCACGTCCAAGGAGCGTGTCTGCTTTTTCGAAAAATTTTTTTCGAAAAGCAGACATGTTTTTTGGCATCCCTAAAATTCCAAAAAGCAGACATGTTTTTTGGCATCCCTGTAAACCTCATTCTATGAGGAAGAAGAGATGTTCCAAAAGAGGATTTTTTCCGACATTTGGCCCAGGACCAAATGTCAAAAAAGCTTCTTTCAGAAAAAAAGCAGAAAGAGATACGCAAATTGCGGTTTGCAATTTGCGTATCTTTTTCTGACTTTTCTTTGTCATCTAGACCAGTGTTTCTCAACCAGCAGTACGAATACCCTTAAGGGTACTCGAGAGAAGTCTGGGGGGGTACGTCAATACAACTGAAATTTGGAGAAAACTGAATTTTTGTTTTAAGTTTTACAGCACTTTGTTATTCTTGTACTTTTTACACCCAAAAAATGTCATCGCCCACCCGGCTACAATTAAGTTGTTTAAACAAATGTGTTACAATGAAAAATATGTTGTGTGTTTGAAAACTGTAGGTACTGGGGGTACTTACAATTTTTTTTAGAGGGGTACTTTATAAAAAAAGCTTGAGCAACACTGATCTAAACACAGCCATAAAGTACTGAGCTGAATTCTGACTGATGTTGAGGAAGCCACACCGTGGTTATTCAAGAAGTACAACCTCTTGTGTTTACACAGCACTGTGTGTCTCCAACATCCTGGGGGTAAACACTCTTCCATACTCTGAAACAGCTGTTTCTAAGAACTACTCTGCATTTCCTTAAATATTCTCCTGCAACATGCCATTTAATGCACACGGTAGGTCTAGCTGACGACAAATATTTCCCACCGCCTTCATATGTTATCTAGGGACGCCCAAACTGTCAAGGACTAAATATCTCTTGTTTTGCTTTGAACTTGAGACAGTGTCCAGTCTCCACAGCTAAGCAGGACAAAGCTTGGATGTAGCAGCGCTAAGTTGTACTTTTTGTTCCAAATATTGTTTCCTTTGACTCACCAGAAGCATCATATATTGGTGCAAGTTCAACAAGGTCACACCCCACTATATTCAGTCCTCGGCAACCACGAATGATCTCCAAAGCCTTTGAAAGATAATAAAGGGCTAGTTATTTGGTGCTCAGATTGTGAACCTTGAAAACATTCCATGTATTTAAACTAGAAGGTGTACCCAGCATTGCTTGGGTCCTCGACTTAGTTAATTTTTGTCTTTTGGAAAATTAAATGAAAATGTCTGTGCTTCATTTAAATCATTGCTCTGGGGAGGGGCTGGGGATGAGGGGTTCAGTACACCGGTTGCCTCAGGGAGAGAGGACTATCCCAGCCCTCACTGCAGCAGTGTGGGGCCAGAAGAGAAGCGCCTCTCCATGGTCACTGTAGCTCCAGTGGGCACAGCCGGGGGAGGGTGCATGTCCCTCGGCTGCTGCAGACTCAGGTTTATCTGCCGCTTGCACTCCCCAGCCAGAGTGAGGAATGTGCAAACTGTGAGCTTTCCCCTCGCTCCCTCACAAAGGGGAACAGCTAGCAATGTCCCTGTACAAATGTGGGGGGGGGGAAGGGGGGTGGCTTCAGCCCAGCTGCCCTCCCTAAAGGGCACCTGAGGATGTGGGAGGTTTGGGGCTGGGGCAGCCTAGAACACAGGGTGCATGCCACCAGCCAGCCCCTTTCAACTGGCTGATGAGTCTTTCTCTTTTGCGTATGAAGCACAATCCCATTCCAGGCACATCCCATTTTTCTGGTCCAACCAAACCATATCCCTGCTTTAAGTTAAGATAAGAGGAAACTGCCTACCGAATTCAGTGGTCCTTGCTCTTACTGTTTAGGAGGAGTTCTTGAATGAACAGTCAGACAGACAGACAAACTCACTCTCTCAAATATACAGTAGATGACCAAAGTGGTGTTTTTGTTTTTAAACAGCTGATGTGAAATCTGTGAAGATACAGTCTTCACATCCAAGGCCCCTGCTGTAACCTAGGGCTCTTTGTTTGTTTTATGCTGAACAGGACTGAGCAAGAAGCAGAGGATCAGACGTATAAATACTGAGACCCCATCAAAGTGGCTATCAGCTCACTCTCCCTTAGCAGGGCTTTCCTACAATAGAAGGATAAATACCAATCTACCAATATTAACAATATTAGAGGCAGGATACGAGTTCTCAATTATTTCAATTCCCAATATGTCACTTTTCTTTTTTTAAAGATTTCTAAATCCCATTTCTAAATCCCTTGACTCTTAGATTCCAAGAGGGGCAGAAGGAGTAAGCCCTGGGACTTCCTTTAAAGGGAACCAGGTTTCCCCTGTGTCTACTCTGCAGGTTCAGAAAAAGTCTGAGCATCTCCTTACCTGAGCAGGTGTAAGACCAGCAATTTCAGGAGCTCCCGTGCCAGGGGCATACGCAGGGTCTAATCCATCAATATCAAAGCTGATGTAAATGGGCTTGGTTCCCATCTGCTGTCTCACCTCCCCCATCAGTGGGACCAATGACTTCATCCAGCAGTCTTCAGCCAGGACGACGCGGAAACCCTGTTGGAGGAAGGGAAAACATGTTTGGCTTCCACTGCCTGAAACACGCTGCTGGGGAAAGGAAGCCGGTGGAGAGAGCGGTGATCCAGTGCGACGTTCCTGAAACAGCTCCCCCAAGCCGTGATTCCCCTATATGCCCCTTTAGCATCCTCCTCTCTCCCCAGCGCTCAACTAGTTACATGCAGCATTGCCAGTTAAACCATTGTCCCACTAGAGCTAGGTGTTTAAAAGTTGTTCTAGTTGGACACAATTCCATGTAGTTGACGATGGGACATTTAAGGGTCTATGTATTTTAAGGGCCTATGTACTATATATTTGAGAGAGTTTGTGCGTCTGTCTATGTGTCCGGCATTTGTTCAAGAACTCTTCCTAAACGGTAAGAACTAGACTACCAAATTAGGTAGGCAGTGTCCTCTTATCATAAGGTCAGAGTTTGGTTGTGCCAGGCCAATGGGATGTGCTTGAAATGCCTTTGGTTTCCTATCAGACAGAAAGGGAGGGGTGTGAGAGCAGGAACACTTATACTCACGAATGACCACAATAGGGCACCAAGCACCCCAGCCCCGGGGAGCAGCTGCTGGCCAGCAGCATGGCCCTTGCCACCATGGGCTACCTGCAGAGACCAGCTGCCCATCATGCTGTGCAGTCTCTATTGCTCCAGGCTGGTCCTGAGGCAACGCCTGCAGGAGGCATGTGTGGTTCCCCCCACGCTGCTGGCCCCAGGGAGTAGCTGGTGGGTGAGCCATGCACACATCCCTCAACCGGCCCTAGGCAATGCTGGCTAAGTCTTCTAGTATCTGATAAAAAAAACTTTGTACCTGAAAAAAACATAATAGGTTTGAAAAATAGGACCAAAGACTAGCTACCTCGCACAGCTGTGTCTGTTATGTCAACATCAGTAACGTTGGCTGACCTCATCATTTCAAAATGTTATTTATAAACAGCAGCAAACCCTCCCACATTCAAATGCTCATACGTGCTGGCGTTTTACGATGTTTAACAATTGGGGCTGAGAGTTAGCAGGGAATTGCCTTGCCAGAGAAAACGTCCTGCTCCCCCTTTGTTCTCACAGTCACTCCCCTCCGGCTCCATCCTCTAAATTTGGACACACCCTCTACTTTCAGTTCCTGGGCAAGACACTGCTCGTTAGCACTAAGCCGATTGTCGCTGGGGCTTTCAGCCATTCCGTGGCCTTGCCTTTGCTCCGTCTTTCATTACACCCCCCGGGGGGAAAGACCGGGGTCTCAATCTGCCTCAGCAAGTAGTGCTTTTTCCAGAGGTGAAGCAGTTCATCAGAATATATGGCTGGAAGCAGCACAGGCAAGATAGCCAGGAGGGGGCAGCAGTGCTTTTTTCTTGCTCTCAGTGTCGTAGTTGCAGGGATTGGACTGAGATTCGTGTTCCATGCGATGGCATCGATTAATGAATACGATCATCTGGCACCTCTTGTCTTTACACAAAACACCCCTCTTGGGAAGGACATATTGCGCGCTGTCACATTACTGGATTTTAAGGGGAGCAGCCAGATCACTGCTGCACCCATTGGGAGGGGTGTGCCCCGAAGTATATACAAAGGAGGGCATGTGAGGTGTCAAACAAAAGCTTATCTTCTACTGATTCTGTAGATGATGTTCATGGAATTGTGTAATGTCTGTACGTGGAGTTATAAACATGGACTCTGTATGGATGCTGGAAACGTCTCTGTCTGTGGCTGAGCAATGCAGAGGAATGTGCAGCCAATGGATATGTTAATGAGCAACTCTCCAGGGACAATGGATATCTAAATGCCAGACACACACCTGGCTAATGACCATGTGACCCTGCCCAGCTTGGAAGAGATCAGGGATGGATATAAAAGGCCAGGTGACAGACTCCATTTTTTGTCTTCAGTTTTGCTCCTGATCCCAGATACAGCCTTGCAGAGAACGACGAGCTGGAAAAAACTGTGGACCCATCCTGACATAGGATGTACACCAGAGACTTTTAAGATAGCAGTTTATAACATCTCTGCTGAGAGTCTGCATCGAGAACTGGGTGATTCAATGCATGTAATGTATTATCCTTTAACAACCTTACTCTCCTGCTTTTCTTTCTTTTAGTAATAAATCTTTAGATTTTAGATTCTAAAGGATTGGCCCAGCATGGTCTTGTGGGTAAGATCCAAAGTGTAAATTGACCTGGGATCTGTGGCTGGTTTCTTGGGACCGGAAAACCTGTTCGGGGTAGGTGAGATTGGGTCCTATAACCCCTCACCTGTGTGCTAGGGCCAGGACTGATTGTGGCACAGAGGGAGCTGGGGTGTCAGAGGGGTTTTGCTCATGAGGCTTCTGGCTGGCCAGATCGGCAGCTGAAGTGCTCGATGTCACTGGTTAGTGGCCTATTTGGGAAGGTCTCCAGTCTGGGGCAGTAAGGAGCCCTGAGTTTGAGCAATTCGCCCTAAGCAGATGCTCTCAGCCGTGCCCAGACCTGGCCCGGTTGGTCACACACACCATGGCTGTTTTTGCCCTGACTACACAGGCAAGGCCCAACAGGCCAGCAGAGAGTAGAGGAGGTTTTGGCAGCAGTATACACTACCTGGTCCCGGCTGTATTTGTAGGCATCCGGGAAGTAGGAGGAACCTCTGATTCCGATCTGAACCACACGTTTGCAATCCAGCAGCCCCTCCTCCACACAGCGTCGGAACGGCGTCCCGTGTTGGACTTTCTCCCCCAGCGCTTTATCTCCTGTGTCAGTATGAGCGTCCACATGCACCAGTCCCACGGGACCATACCTAATTGGGGCAGAGCAAGCACAGACGTGGCCTTAGCTCCAGCCCTCTGCTCCCATCCACCTGCATGAATGTGTCGGTTATCTCTGACCTCATGCAACCCTTCAGCATAAAATCTAGAATCCTTCACATTGTCAGCCATCTACACCCCAAACAGGTTATAAAATGGACTTCCTAGGGCCTAGGACCTCTCAACAGGCAGGTGACTATTCAGCAGGTTGAGGAAGGCAAGAAGCACATGATCTCTCACCAATTAACTCTGCAGCAAAGAGAACCAGAGACAGAGTACGGACACTAGGTGCCAGCTGGGACCAGCGTAAACGGGTTGTGGATAAGTGAGCAGAGCAAATGGGAAAATTGCCAGCATCCTACACAACATCAGGAAGCTAAGATGGCTCCATCAGGAGCTCTTTAATGAGCTGAAAATGAAACAGGAAGCCTCCAAACAAAGTGGAAATAGAGACAAATTGGTGATGATAAATCTAAAAGAATAGCACAAGCATGTAGGGGCAAAATTAGAGAGGCACAAAACAAAGCCAGAGGCTAAGCAACCAGGAGGAGCTAGAGACCAGGGATCCACAAAAAAGAGTTTGAGAGGGAGTCCTAATACAGCCAGTATAGTTAGGAAGGGCCACGTCACCTGTGCCAGCACAGCTTCTGTCTCCTCTGCCTGTGCCTGTAGCCAGACAGACCACCTGACCATGGATTCCTTTACCCAGATCCTGGTGTGGTTTTGCAGAGCCTGTGGCTTGCTTTCCCCACATACAGAAATCCAGGCTGGGGGGACCATCCAATGTGAAAGGTGTCTGTTAGTGGAATGTCTCAGGAAGCAGCTGGGAGAGCTACAGGAGGAGGTGGGGAGGCTGAAGAGCATCCATGCCCCTGAGGCGGAAGACTTTAGCAAACTCAGGGAGCCTACCAAGGTGGCAGATTTTAGCAAATTCAGGGAGCTGGTAGGTAAGATCCCATGGGAAGCAAGACAGAGGCTAAGTCTAGACTGCAGAGCTTTTCCAAGATACTGGAGGTCCAAGGAATGCATCTGGTTTTCTGAAAAAAATTCAGAAACATTGACACGTTCTTTCACCATCCCTGTAAACCTCGTTCTATGAGGCATAAGGGATGTGCCGAAAAAAGAGGTTTTTCCAAAATTTAGCCCTAGAAGGGCCAAATTTTGGAAAAGCCTCTTCTGAAAGAAAAGCGGAAAAAGATACACGAATTGCAGTTTGCAATTTGTGTATCTTTTTCCGACTTTTCTTTGCAGTCTAGACGTAGCCTAAGAGGAAAAACAATTGAGGACAGTTGGCAGTTTTTCAAAAGGACGTTATTAAGGGTCAGAGGGTATGTCTACACTACCCCCCTAGTTCGAACTAGGGGGGGTAATGTAGTCATATGGAGTTGCAAATGAATCCCGGGATTTGAATTTCCCGGGCTTCATTTGCATAAAGCTGGCTGGCGCCATTTTTAAATGCCAGCTAGTTCGGACCCCGTGCCGCGTGAAGCCGCGCGGCACAGGGTCCGAACTAGCCGGCATTTAAAAATGGCGCCAGCCAGCTTTATGCAAATGAAGCCCGGGAAATTCAAATCCCGGGCTTCATTTGCAACTCCGTATGACTACATTACCCCCCCCTAGTTTGAACTAGGGGGGTAGTGTAGACATACCCAAAGAGAACACTATTCCACTCCATAGAGACGACAGGAAGTATGGCAAGACACCACTCTGGCTTAATCAGGAGATCTAGAATGATCTAAATATCAAAAAGAAGTCCTATAAAAAGTGGAAAGTAGGTCAAAGTACAAAGGATGAATATAAACAAATAACACAAGTATGTAAGGGCAAAATTAGATGAAGGCACAAAACAAGCTCAATCTAGCTAGAAATATCAAGGGTATCAAGATATTTTACAAATATATGAGAAGCAAGAGAAAGGCCACGCACAAGGTAGGCCCACTGCTCAATGAAGAGGGAATAATGATAGCAGGAAATGTGGAAACGGCAGAGGTGCTTAACAACTTCTTTGTGCCGGTTTTCAGCAAAGAAAGTTGGTGGTGATTGGGTGCCTACAATAGTGAATGCTGGAGAAAAGGAGGTAGGTTCAGAAGTTAAAATATGGATAGAACAAGTTACAAATTACTTTTAAGATTTGGATGTCTTTAAGTCACCAGGGCCTGTTTAAATGCATCCTATAATACCTCCTCAATCAGCTCTTTGAGTATCTAAGCCATTAGTAATCATCTTTGAAGTGTCATGGAAGATGAGAGAGATTCCAGAAGAATGGAAACGGGCAAATATGTAGGGCTAAAGAATTAAAATCGGTCTTTTAATTGATTATATCTATCAATCTGACATCATGTAACCTCATGAACAGCAGTCAAATTCTTATGAATGGGATTTGGATTAATTTGTTAATAACCTGTTAAGAATTGCCTTTGAAGAATCTGTTACTGTAACTTTTTTATATATTGTATCTAAACCCCCGTTTTAAACATTGTATTGCCTTGACTCTGTTTAAAGTTTGGTGTGTGTGTATGTAATCTCATTTAAAAGTGTGAATGTGGGTGTATGTATAAAGGGATCAGTCCCTGGAGCCAGCCTGTCTGGGTGATGAGTTGCTAGCACCACCTTGTTCTTTGGCCTTGGGAAACAGGCCAAACCTCGCCTATAGACAACTCCCTAATGTGAAGCAAGTTATTTTCAGCAATCACACATCACACCCCAAACATACTCACCCAGGAACCTACCCCTGCAATAAACCCAGTTACCAACTCTGTCCACACATCTGTACAAGTGTGCACAGGAAGAAACCACATAAGCCATAACATGAGAGGCTCATACAACTGAACATCTTCTAATGTGATCTATGCCATGAAGTGCCAGCAATGTCCCTCTGCCATGTATATTGGCCAAACTGGACCGTCTCTATGACAAAGTGGACACAAGTCGGATACCAGAAATGGTAATACACAAAAACCTATAAGAACACATTTTAGCCTACCTGGGCACTCATTAATGGATTTAAAAATAGCCATTCTTCTACAAAGGAATTTCAGAAACCAACTACAGAGACAGACTTGAGGAACGGGCCTTCATGGCTTGAATAAAGACATGAACTGGATGGGCGATTATATTCAACATCCAAATGACATCAAAAGCTAAGTATGGGACACTTACAGCCCACTCAGTTAGCCTCATTAGCACCAGCACTACAATTGACAGGTGTATTTTTTTCTTTTTCTCCTCCTCTCCCTTCTTTTTAAGTTGGGAGGTTCCCCTTTTTTTCTCCACTCTATCTGAGGAAGTGGGTTTTGCCCATGAAAGCTCATGATACTATATACATTATATATTCATTTATTTATTTGTCTCTATGGTCTATAGGACTACTCTTGGGGTTTTTTTTTCTATCAATGTGAGTGAGCCCTGCAAATGAACCCACCTAGGAAAACAGACAAAAACCCCATAAAGAAAAGAAGATTAAAGTCACACCTGCTATTAACTGATGACTCATACAGTGCTCTGAGGCAATGCTACAGAATAGGAGCTTTAAACTAAAACATGAAATATATGGATGCAAAACTATAGGATTGAGTCTTTTAGTTCTACAATCATCCTCTAGGAACATCAGTGACACCAACATGATCTGGCTCCACTACTCATGTTTAGACTGCCTGACCAGTGGACTAGCACGAGCAACTGAGGCTGGTAACTATATCCCACCTGTAGGACTGTGTGTCTGAGTGTGGTGCATAATTTTAGTAGCTAGAGACAGTAAATTCTGCATTCATGATAAACATGGCATATTGTCTTATTCCCAAATAAGATTCTGCTGGTTCTATTTCTGTGTGTCAAATTTTGGTGGAGAATGCAGGCAGCTGGTCACTCAGACAGGCTAGCTTCAGAGACTGATCCCTTTACACACAGCCCCACACTCACTCTTTTAAATGAGATTACAAATGCGTACACACACACCCCCAACTTTAAACAGAGTTAAGGCAGTACAAAGTATAAAATGGGGCTTCAGTTATAATTTTTTCATAATTCATAATGATTTTTCATAATTCAAAATGAGCTGGACAAACTGGAGAAATGGTCTGAGGTAAACAGGGTGAAGTTCAATAAAGATAAATGCAAAGTACTCCACTTAGGAAGAAACAATCAGTTGTACACATACAAAATGGGAAGTGACTGTCTAGGAAGGAGTACTGCAGAAAGGGATCTAGAGTTCATAGTGGACCACAAACTAACTATGGGTCAACAATAGGACACAAAATAATTCCACTTTACTCAGGAGTGACTCAAGGCCGGCTGCGGCAGCTGGCGCCCCAGGTGGAAGGCGCAATCGGCGCCCCCACCTGCACGGCCATCAATGACCGTGACGTTATCATCGGGCACCCGGGCCAGCGGCGCCCTAGGCAACTGCCTAATTTGCCTAGGCTCACGGGCCGCCCCGACTTTACAATGATTAGGCCTCTGTTGGAGTATTATGTCCAGTTCTAAGCACCACACTTCAGGAAAGATGTGGAGAAATTGGAGAAGGTCCAGAGAAGACAACAAAAATGGTTAAAGGTCTAGAAAACATGATCTATATAAAGGAACACTGAAAGAATTGGGTTTGTTTAGTTTGGAAAAGAGAAGACAGAGAGAGGACATCATAATAACTTTCAAGTACCTAAAAAGGTGTTAAAAGTAGAAAGAATTATACTGTAAGAGAAAGATGAATTGTGCTGTAATCATTGAATAAGTTGAAGGAATACTGTTTGTCTTTTAAGAGGAAGAAGAAAAGTATGTTAATGTTGATTGTAGGTATGCAGATCAGCATGCTAGCCAGGTGGGCCTGAGTTAACAGGAAAAGGAACATTAGGTGTTAGGCAGAAAGCAATTGAGATAACCAGGGAGATATGGACAGCTGATTGCTGTGTGCTTGATGTTGAAATGAAGATACTTGACTAGTCTCACACTAATCATGTGAAGTTTTGCCCCTCTTTTTAATCCTGTTAACTTGGCTTTCTTTTGACTGTATAAATCAAGGGGTTTGAACCTTGTATGGTACTCACATTTTCTGGGTGCATTTAGCAGAGCAGCTTTGCTAATAAACAGAGCGGTCTGACAAATCTGTGAGTCCTGTCTGACTTTGACACAAGGAAGAGGGAGAAAAATTATTCTCCTTAACCTCTGATGATAGGACAAGAAGCAATGGGATTAAATTTCAGCAAGGAAGGTTTAGTTTGGACATTAGGAAAAACTTCCTAATTGTCAGGGTGCTTAAGCACTGGAATAAATTGCCAACGCAGGTTGTGGAATCTCCATAATTGGAGATATTTAAAAGCAGGTTAGATAAACATCTATAAGGGATGATCTAGATAGTACTTGGTCCTGAGGTGAGGGCAAGGGACTGGACTTGATGATCTCTCGAGGTCCCTTCCAGTTCTAGTGTTCTATACTATAAAAATAAGTTACACTTACCAAGGGACATAAAAGACAATCAGAAGAGGTTCTAGGAATACATGAATAGGATGAGAAAGACAAAGGAAAGTGTAGGTCCTCCATTTATCAGCGAAAAAGCGCTAAAAGCCAGTAACAATAAGAAGGTTCAGATGTGTAATGCCTGTTTTGCTACAGTCTTCACTAAAATGAAGACTGTATTGTGATCCTAGTTAACACAATTAATGTTAAGAAAGACAATCAGAAGAGGTTCTAGGAATACATGAATAGGATGAGAAAGACAAAGGAAAGTGTAGGTCCTCCATTTATCAGCGAAAAAGCGCTAAAAGCCAGTAACAATAAGAAGGTTCAGATGTGTAATGCCTGTTTTGCTACAGTCTTCACTAAAATGAAGACTGTATTGTGATCCTAGTTAACACAATTAATGTTAAGAACAAAGATA